CCCTAAACTCTAAACCCTAAAGCCTGTCAGTCCGAACCACTCCCTGAGGTGCCGGCTCCCAAATTGCCCACGGAGGGAGCCACTGCCCTGGCCTCGTCGCTTCGCTTCAAACTTGAGGTGAGCTCTGGGTCTGCGGGAATTTAGGTTTAAGGGTTTCAGGGGACAGAAGTCGTATTGACAATATACGTTCTTTTCAGGATATACCATATCGGGATTCATAGTATTAGGGTATAGGGCCCCCCAACGTTTAAGGGTCATTTGGTCCTAAAGGTAGAGTTCTTTTCAGGAATTTGGGCTTACAAGGTTTGGGGTTTTCGTCGGAGGTCAAGACTGGAGGGTGTTCAGTCTCTCGGGGCTCAGGGTTCATCGGCCCAAAAGAACCCGTTCGCCGTTGGGTGTGTCTGTGTGTGTGTGTCTTTGCATGACAGGGTTGTAGGTTCGGGGCTCCCAGAAGTACCTATGAATAGGTACATCTAAAAACTTGCAAGGTCAAGTTTCCCAAAGTGCCACCAACTTCGGCCTTTATGCACCCAACAAGGTTCAAGCTTACACAGTCAATTGCTCAGCAGGAATCGAAGCAGCAACTGCAAACATAGTGACGCAACACTTTAATGGCTTTTAACCCTTAACCCTAAACCCTTCTTGTTTTGAAATTTATAACCCAAAACCTTTTCTGTTTTGAAGTATAACCCGAAACCCTTTTTGCTTGAGATTATAACCCTAAGCCCTTTTTGCTTTGAAATTATAACCCTAAACACTTTCGTGTTGAATGTATAACCCTAACCCCTTTTCGTGTTGAAATTATAACCCTAAACCCTTTTTGTTTTGAAGTTATCTTAAAGCTTTGGAGGTTTTGATTGTTCATGCATCACGACCCTCGCTGCTGTAAGGGCTGGGTGAGTGGTCTACACATTAACAGCCCCAACAGCTTTCATCAGAGTTGACAAGACAGAGACCGCGTATTAAGATGATCAAAGAACAACGAGAATAGCATCCCTGCCTGACCTTCAACACTGCCAATGATGAGAGGCCGGTGTCATCCATATATCTTGTTGAAGTGACCGTCG